TGGTTCAATGAACGTATCAGCTATGTCCAGGTTGTCAACAGATGGCGCATTATGGTTAAGTTTGGCCTCAAAAATTCGTTCCATCTTATGAAGTAATAATACTTTTATATATTATTTATGCTTTTAACAGGCATACCATTGCTATCCCTTACCGTTTCACTGATCATTCTTCGAGTTATAGTTACTTTTTGAAAAAAGCGGATTAGTTTCCCATTAACGCCTAATCGAGCAGTCGTCTTTATTCTCAAGGCCATGTCACTCTAATAGTGACTTCTGTTCCGTCGTGCTACTTTCGTTGCAAATCTTCGAAGCATCAGGTGGTCAGGATCATTTGACATTCCTGCTTTGGCAGCTTTTTCAAACAGTTGGACAGTTGCTTCTGATACCCAACTAGCGCACTTCCTACTAGTATGCCCTAGCGTGGAAAGGGCTGAATTTTGGAGATATTCCTTTAGTTTGGACCAGTATTCATTTGCCGGTTCAGAAAAGTCATTGATATTTATACCACTGAGGTGCTTCAATAATTCGGTTTGAAATGCGCTCACTGCCCTTGAATTTTTTAATTTGAGATAGTTGAAGGATCTTGGGGGATGTTGCTTTCTGCGAGTTGTCAATTTTATGTGGATCTTGGCCCGAACTATAACATGGTCAGGTCCATGAAGATTGCCCGTTTCAGCTCCGCGATAGGAACGACTATCTAGTACGGAACTGTTCCAGCGGCGACTGACTAAGATATAATCAATCTGGTTGAAGTGTTTGTTGTCCGGGGAGTTCCACGTGAGTAGATGTTTTCTATGATGCCGGAAGCAATAAAAGTTCATGCATAATGAAGAAATCGTTCCCCATTGGCACACCAGTCTCCGATGTCATTATGACCTACGCGAGCATTCCAGTCTGATCTCCAATTATGACCATATCATGTTTCGGTCGAGACTTTGTTAGCAGTTGAAGTTCCGCATAGAGCTTATCTTTATCATCGTCATCTGCGGCGAAAATAGAGCGATAGACACTGATGACCGAGGTATTGCAGAAATTACCCTTAAAACGGGCATAGGCCATACGGTCGTTTACTGGTTTCCACTCAATCAAAACGGAATGGGCCTTGTCAGACATGACAATCGCTACGCCATTTCGTCCCGAGTTATTTGAAGTATCACGGTGATATAGGCAGTATCTCTGCTCTGAACCAGGATAAATAATTGCTCGAGACCCAAAATGAGAAAGACGGACCTCCGATAAGCAAGCGATATCCACACGATACTTAGACAGGGTGTGGACAGTAATCGCTTGGCTTGCAATGTCCATAAGCGTTCTGACATTCCACGCTGATACGGCTAATACCTCGCTGCAGAGTGCTGTTCCTCTTGATAGGTTTCAAGCAATTACTCTGGCTTGAGAGCATTTTATTTACCAGCCTTGGGATAGCTTTAAGCGCCGGATTGTAAACTTATCGCATGTACCACCGGGCTCGAAGTATCATGCGCGTCTGGAGACGCGGACGCCGCATCAAGTGTATTTGACCTTTTCACCATAGAATCACTTGGGGATAGAGTTGCAGGTGGGTGGGAGTTTTAGTACCATAATGAATGATAAATATTTCTCATAATTTACTTTTTTCCAGGTCTTGTGAAAATCTGTTTCGCTCTAGCTCAGCGGGCGATGAGATTATTTCGGCACTTTTCAAAAATTCAAAGGAATTCAGTGTGTGCCAGATCGCATCATATTTATTGGCTATTAAGTTAGGTACTTTTATTTGACATTTTTTTCCATATTTACATTTTTTTTACTCCATTATTTTTTTTATCGAATAGTTTATTATGGACTTGACAAGTAGCCATTTTCTGTTATAATTATAAATGATTCTTCTAAAACATTGTGGGCAAAAATATCGAAAATTGATCAGTTAAAATTGTTTAAAATAAATAAATCTGTGATTAAAAGTTTTGTTAGCTCATGAAAAAAATTGGATTTTATGAGTTATTCGTAATCTTCCATTCATTCGAAAATTGTTGATCTTAGGTTTGTGACCTTGTGATATTACTTTTGGAAAGGAAATTTTGCAGCATGAAAATCATAAAATTTTCTCACCCTTTTTTCTTTTGCTGATTTATAGGCTCACAGCAACATAATAATGCGGTAAAACTAGTTGCAAAACTAGTGCTAGAAACTGCCGAAGGTCCCAATCTCGAAAACTTCTTGCTTCAGTGTTTTGTTGTTCATAAAGCTGCTCTTTCCTTCAGTGACAAAGAGTTGTTGATTTCTGTCATCGTGAGAAGTGCGGTTCCGAGGGAGACAAGAATGAAATGTGTGAAAATAATTAACGAGGCTAAAATTTATGTATGAATTAAAGATTTTTCGCGATATTTCTCATCTCTAATTCTTTTATATTAAATTTTTGGAGGAACTTGGAGTCAGCTTAGAGTGGCCAAGTGGACAGTGGTTTAAGCTATATTGGTAAGGATTTATTTCTGCCCTTGACAGAAGTAAATTTTCTGTTAAAAAATCGGATTGGTGCTAATGACCCCCTTATTCTTGCGTTGTTGACTTCAATTGCAGAAATTTCTAGCATATTAACACTAACGGAAATAGTTTGATCAGCAATGGTAAGATTTAACCAAATCTTTTTTAACTTTGCAGATGCCTACAACTTTGTTATCTGATGATATCATGGCACAGTTTGCTAACGGAAAACTGAATTTGCGCGAAATCATTGGTTCAATGGTACAAGGTAATTTCTTTCAACTAAATTTAATTTGTTACAGTTTTTAAAATGTTTGCTGTTTCTGCCTGCATCTTATATCCTTCCGCTATGTGTGGGGCAGTTGCGGAGGCTTTTTCATCATCCATACTTGTGTAAAATTTGCTGTTTTTTAAGTCAAAGTTGTTTATGAATGAGAAGTATATAAGTTTAAACCATGAATTCTTGAGTTTTACCACTGAGGTTTTACAGAAGTTCAGTTTATTTACTGTATTAAATTTTTTATTTTAGATATTTCTCTTGTTCCTCAAGTGCTATTAAAGCTAAGTATGGATGATGTTTTTTTACAGAAAATTGTTCGTGGACTATTAAATAAACTTATGCTTGAAAAATCTTTTCACAAAATAAAGCAACTGCTTCAGAGGTTTAATTTATAAACTTTCTTTCATTATTTGGCTAGAATTTTCTTCTTTTGGATTTGTAATTGTTAAAAATCAAAGTATGGATTATTGGTATATATTTCGATATTCTTTAGTAAATGTGCTGATTTAATCCTTGGTAATTGTGGGTGCCCTAGAGCGGTTTTAGAAGTTGTTTTGAATCGAGATTCATCTAAACGTGTAATGGAGTGCGCGATTTTGCTATTTGCGGCATTATACGGTTTGTCTTTTCCTATATAGCTGGCTTGAGAAAAAGTTAAGTAAATTTGTTTTTAAAACCTATGCAATTTTAGAAGCGCAGGAGACAAGAACATGTGCTGTTAAGCTAACATGCAAGGTTCTAAAATGTGCTAAGATAAACGTGGTGCATGAAATTATGAATAAATTGTTCGGTTTTTATAATATTCACATAAGTGGCTCGGAAAGTGATATTTTGAAAAGTATACTCAATGAGAGACTATATGAGCCAAAAGCATTTGAGTATTATTCAAAAATATTTGATAAAGCAGTTGATGAAACGGTTCAAATTGTTCGTTTCTTTACTTTTCTAAAAAAAATCCTTTCTTCATCTCATGTGTATGTTGGCTTTCAAATTCCTCTACCAGAGACCTGATGGTTCTGCTCAGTATTTAGCAGTGCGCTCTTCTGAACTGAGATCTCTGATGTTATTGTTTCTAGAATCTATTGAAGCCATTTTTATAGTTTAGGGCTACAGTTCCTAGTGCTCCAATTATCACTTGGACTACTTTTCCTTTTACTTTCCACATCTTCTCCAAGTAATTGACCAACAATTGTTTATCTTTCTGAATTAAAAAGTCCCACTGGATCTATTATTCTTCTTTTCTGGAAACCTCGCATCTAGTTTTGTTCTAAGCAATATACTGAATAGATATTCTTGTAAACAGTGCCAGCTGTTTGCTTATGCCGTTCAATGTTTGCTGTTTCTGCCTGCATCTTTTATCCTTCCGCTATGTGTGGGGCAGTTGCGGAGGCTTTTTCATATTCTGCATTCGCATTTTGAGTCCCGTTTGATGTGCTAGATCTCCATGTTTCGATGGATCTGATGCCTATTATTTGTTCTTATACTGCTTTGATCAATGGTCCGTTATCTCCGTTATCTTTTAGTCCAGCTTTTTCCAACCATTAGTAGAATTTGTCAGTGCCGGTTAGCTATGCGTCTGTGGTACATCCCATCGAGTCTTGCTTCGTCATGGTACTTTCTCTGCTTAATGTCTGTAGATGCTTCAGACATTCTCTCAAATGCTTATCTTTTGGTGTTATCTTTCTGTATTTCTAAGTGCTTCCAATTTCGTTCAGATAGTGGTTTTCACACTCATCATACGCTTTTCCGGCTTGTGTAGCCTTTGAATATTGGATTTGGGGTGGAAATTTCCGTGCACTATGAGGAGTTTCTTGGCTTTTACATTAGCAATCTCCATATCTTCGTTTGTCTATCTTGCCAGCTGCTTATCTGATAACTAGCTGGGCATACATATTTATGGCTTTATGGCTTTGATTATTTTTCCTATTGAACTGCCCTTATTCTTTGGTAGTACTTAGGTGTTGTAGGCTTTCTTGCATTCTCATCATGATTGCCATGTGACTATGGGACACCAATGTCTCCTATAATGGCAGATCCATCTTATCTTTTTAACAGGACTTTCCACATCGTGGGGAGGCAAGTTATTGATCGGTAGTTGGATAGTGTTGTTCCCTTGCGAGGTTCTTCTATGAACAGTATTGTCCTTCCTTATATTAGCCAGTCTTAACAAGCGGCTGGTTCATCTATGTTGCTGTGGCATGAACCGCTTTAGTTTTTTTAACTAATAGATGTGGATTATATCTGGAACAGTTACTATCTAGCTTTCCATGTTTGGTATCTGGACTGTGGCAGCAAACGATTTCTATCCTGGGAAATTGTTGTCAAGTCCTGCAGCTACTTTGCACTGGTGTTATGAATCTTCTTTTTCTGCTCTATAAAATATATATATATATATATAATCATTTTCGTAAAGCATTGCGGTTCATGTGGTGTTTCTTGCGCTCTTATTTGACCCGTAAAAATCTGAGAAAGGCTATTTGAATTTCGTGCCGAATCATACCAGTATCCGCAGCAGGTATCCAAGGTGAGCAGCCTCTAGTTGGTAGAATAATATAGATAAGGGAAGCCAGCAAATTAGATCCTTAGTTTTGGGAAAAGAACTGGCTATAAGAACTGAGTTGGATGGGCTATGCCATAATTAAATCGAAGTAATGCAAAACTATTTATAATGTAGTGGTGTTTTTTCTTTTTGAAATCGTTTTTGGTTTTGGAAATCTCTAGAAAGAAATATTAAATATTATTATTACCCACTCTTATAAATAGTCATGTTCGACACTGCCAGGCAAGGGATTTGACTGGGGCGGTACATTTGTTAAAGCGTAATGCAAGTATCCTAAGGGAAGCTCAGAGAACGGAAACCTCTCCTAGAATAAAAGGGTAAAAGCTCGCTTGATCTTAATTTTCAGAACGAATACAGACAGCGAAAGCGTGACCTCCCGATCCTTTAGAGTTAGGAAATCTCTAATTTAGCAAGAGGTATCAGAAAAGTTACCTCAGCAATAACTGGATTGTGACAGCTAAGTGCTTATAACGACATTGCTTTCTGGTCCTTCGATGTCGGTTCTTCCTATCATTGTCAAGCAAAATATATATTTCCCAAATTCCCCAGAAAATTGTAGAGAATAATAAGGCGAAGATCATGTGGTACTTCTCCATCTAAATAAGTTTTGGGCAATCAACCAAATATCGTGGTAGTGAACAAGAATCAGAAATCAATACCGATGATTCATATAGTGATACCAAACGATCGGAACGTCAGAAAAAAAGGAATATGAGAACGTAACAAGTGTGTAGAAAAACACGTTCGGGTGGAGGTCGGCGATTTCTACTTCCACTATATATTTTCCTTAAAAGTTTCGGGGATCCGCTCCACTATATAGTCTGTACAGAGTTCAGCATTCTTATAAATTCTTTCTTCCTTCCACGTGGTACTATTTAACAGACAAAAATTACTATGTATTATATTCTCCGGTCAGCATTCTTATAAATATCTTACTTCGAAAAATTAGACCTCAAACTTGGGTAATTAAATCTTTGTTTAATATATAAACACAAGAACAAAAGAAATCTAAAAATCTAAAACTTTAATGAATCATATAATAGTGATGCAGCATATATTCCCGAATGGCAATCCATCTTTGGGAGACATTTGGGAGACATGAATGAGGCATTCGATAGCACCACGCAAGAACGACGAAAAACGTCCCTACCCAACGCTTCCCAGGTCTCTAACCCAATTCCCATACTCATCTGTTTCCTACTTTCATTTTTCTTTTCCCCAAAACATGCCTAAAATGGCCGGACTGGTCTCCTAGGAGCTTAGATTCGTTTTAAGGTGGGCGGAGGGAAGATTTTCGTTCGTCTATTCCCTTAAAATAGAAGATATTTTTATTGTACCTCTTATTCATGAAGTACTCTATTATTATTCTCTGATATTTTCCAATTTCTCTTCCAATTCTTATATTCTGGCTGTGAATGAGATGTGTTATAAGAGCGATGCGGATGACCTGCTCATATTTGCAATTATCTTTGCCATTCGACGACATTAAAAGCTGAAAGAAGAACTAGAGAAGAGATGGAAAGAAAAGGCCAAAGTAACTTCAGTGATCATTGGAGCATTTGGAATTGTGCCCACTAAACTAGAAATTTATCCAGGAACAGCATCAGAGATCTCTATCCAGAAGAGCGCATTATGAAGAACAGCTGAGATAGTTACTGCACAGAACCACCAATCTCTCAGACATTCAATAGAGGACCTGAGGTTGATCGTGATCACCCACGGAGGGATGAGAAAAAAATTTTGCGCATTTTTATAGCTTTGTTACACCACTGAGTATTACTAGTGATGAAATTTTTTCATTTTTGACCAGAATTTTTATTTTTTGGGGATTTTTTTATATTTAGGATTTTGAAAGATGGATGAAGGAGAAAAATGTGGATTTGATTTTAGCAGAAGCCGAACGTTATAATTCGCTTTTGCTCTATTCAATTCTTTTGAAAAAGCGGTTATGTAATCAGGTTCTTTATTCTCTGAAAATTTTGAAATTTCTTTCGAAAAATATTCATTTGAATCAATATTTATGTAATTTTAATAAAGAATTACTTCAGGATGATATCATTACTTCAGGATGATATCGGTGCGATCTTATTCCATGTTACTTCAAGTTTATGAGTTTTCTTTATATGTGCCATAATCAATTTTCATTGGCACTTTGTAATTTAAATAATAAAAATAAAAATTAAATTTAGTTCTCATCATTTATCAGCACATTTATATTTTTTAGGACTTAGTTTTTCATACTTTTAGTCACCAGATGTCGATGAATTGTTTAAGTTATTTAAAAAAATATCTGTTCTTTCTGCGAGGAGTGCTGGAAAATGTCCTGAGTTCCTGAAAAGATTTGAACTTCGTTCTGGTGGAACCAAGATAGCTAGGTTTTGTTGTTATAATCTAATTTTTAAATGACTTTTTTCACTTTTTCGCTGTACGGTAGTCTATTTTTCAATTCTTATTTTTTTATATCTAGCTTTATTTTCTCACAATTTTTATTGCCTAATCAAACATGATGATTTTTATGTGGCCTTTGTTGACTTTTACTTATGTGCCTGTTAAGGAATAAATAAATTTATGAGTAATTAATATAGATAATGGAAAGTTAATGTTCTATTATTATTATTATGAATGTGAAATTCTATTAGTACAATTTCTCTTTTCTTATTTGGGCAGTTATGTCCTAGGTTTAAGTTGCAATTTTTTCTAATTCTTGAAAAATTTCGCAGTTAAGTCATCGCAACGTGGTAGTTGCTTCGGGCTTAGCTATTGCTTCAAAATTGCTAGATATGAATGCAGAAAATGAGGCAGATGAGATACTTGCTTCGTTAAATTTTGCGATCGACGAATATATTCCAGAATTGGTCCATAAGGTTCTCAATTATAATTTGTAAAAATTTATTTTCATGTAAAAATTTTATCTGTAAAAATCGTTCATCAAATTCTAACTTTTCCCTCTGCATGTTAATTTTTTCGTTTAATTTTGCTTTTGATTCTTTAGTTTAAATCTTTTAGGCTGCTGTTCATTTCAGTTCGTCGTTTTACCTGTGTCGCAAGAGAACGTTGCATTAATGAAAAAATTAGAAACCCGCTTCAAAGATGAAGGATGGCTAAAAATTTTCAAAAAGAAAAAAGTGCAGCATTATCGAGATATATTAAATTCGTTGGTTTTTTTTATCAAGCTACATCAGAAATGATATTATTAGAAATTTTTCAAGACCTTAAATAATGAAAAAATTTAAACCTTCAGAACGTAAAACGTTTCAAGTCTATTCAGAAAATTTCGATAAATGACCTGGAATTTTTGTTAACCATTATAAAATATTTAGTGGAAACTTGAAAGAGGCACTGAGATTCGCAGAGCAAGTTAATTTTCTCTCGCTTTTCGATCATCACATTCTAATCAAAAAAATTATTGATAAGGGTAATACGACTATGTTGGACGCAGGTACAGACCTATTATTTTTAAACCTGTTTTTGCTTGCCTTGAGCGTGCTTATATTCTGGAAGAATTTTTCAGTTCACTAATATATTTTTATAACCATTTTCGCATTTATTATTATTACTATGCTCTCGATGCTAGTTTTTTTTGCTTAAAAAATCTTCGTTATTTTATGATAGAAAATATTATGATTTTTCAAAGTAGTTTTATAAAATCTTTTGCAGCGTTCAAAAATTGCGCAAATAAATTTAGTCGCACTTGCGCTCTAAGTACCTTTGCTATCAGTTTGCTCTGTAGGGATATGAAGGATCAAGCATTTCGCATTCTCGATGTAATTTTTTCGTATTTTTTTGTTTTCAAACTGATTTAGCTATTGATTTTATTAATGTCTTTTTTCCTTTAATTCCTTTTCATTTGCATTTCATTCCTACTTTTTTTATTTACATTTCAAAACATTGAGTAAAATTATTTCAGTCTCTAAAGTGCGATTTTCCTCGTACATTTTTGTCTTCGATCAACTCTAAATCTTCCAAGGCTGAGGTAAACAAATTACAAAATTTTCTCTAATTTTTTTCGAGCTTTTCTACATGGTTTAAAATATTATGTACACATTGGTTCATTTGTCATTTGTGAATATTTTTTCGCTCAAAAAATTTCAGTTGAAGATAATCATGATGATCTTAAGAAGCATACATGGCCAACAGGATTTTTTCCGAATTCTTGTTGAAAATCTTTTGCAGTATTATCGTGAGTTTCAATTATTTCGTGTTTTATAGGCTCAATGGTTGCTTGCTCTTTATTTGAGAACTTAGAAATAAAATTTTCATTATCTATCATGAAAAATTATGGAAATTCATTATCAATTTTCATTGCACGTCTTTTGTAGGATGTCGCAAATAATCTTACATAATTTTCATTTTTTTTTAGTTAAGAAAGGAATGAAAGCAGAATTCATGGCGTTAAAACGTGATCTTGGCCAGTCATTTTCCAGTTTTGATAACTCAGGTAAGACACATTTTTCTGTTTCATCAGCGGCGCTTATAAATATAACAGTATACTCTATGGATTTATATCTGAAGTTGTTTGTTATCTATACTTCGGAAATTTCTTCTGCCTCTTCTAACATCTTTCACCGTTACTAGTTAGGCTAGCTATAAGGGTCAGACGTCTCCAAGCTGTTCATTCCGATACTACTAATAGAAGCCATTCCTTTTTCCATCGTCTAAATCCATATATCGCCGGTCCACTACTTTAAAAAACTTTCCTGTATGTGTCAGTCCAGGTTTTTATTGGTCCTCTTCACTTTTAAGGCCATCCACCATAGGGTTTAACAAGTAACGAAATATGTGTCAACTCTTGGTGGTTGACGGAGAGCGTGTCCTAACCAGCAAAGACGACGCTGTCTGAGTTGGCACTGTTAATACAAGTGGTATTTTAGCGAAGATGGTAATCATGTGAGATTTTATAAGCTAGGCAGACCCGTAAAATGTATGAGTGGTCAAAGATTGATAACTTCTTAATACTTTCCACTTTCATTGGGCATAACGGAGTCATATAAGAAGATCGAGTAACTACGGATTTTTGTTTTCATAGTGATTTCGCGACGGCTCCATAAAGTCAACCCAGAAGAATGCATAGCTACCATTATCAAAGCAATAATTTCGTCTTTCGCTTGACCGTTTAGAATTCCTCTTCTTCTTCTAAAAGTTACTGGTTAGACTGGCTCCAGGTGTAAGACGCTTCAATTGGCGCTTCAATCTGATGCTATCGTCGATAGTAGTAAAAGCCATTCCTTTTTTCATCGTCTATTTCCATATATTGTTGGTCCACCTATACGTTTAAAATCTTTCCTGACAGTATCAGTCCAGGTCTTGATTGGCCAACCGCGCTTTTGACGGCACCCATCACAAGATTTAGCAAATATGCGTCAACTCCTGTGGTGGACGATGGAACGTGCCCTAACCAGCGAAGGCGACACTTTGTGATAACATTATTTATGCAAGTGGTATTTGAACGAAGATGGATGCGATCGTGTGATATCTTATCCGCTCGACAGATCCATAAAATGTATTTTAGACAAGAGTGGTCAAAGACAAATAGCTTCTTAATAATCCTCCACTATCATTCGCCATGTTTTAGAGCCATATAAGAAGATCGAACGAATTACGGCTATACAGATGCGGACTTTCGTTTTTATGGTAATTTCATGGCGGCTTCATAAAGGTTTCGTCAACCGGAAAAACTCATTTCTAGCTGCCATGATCCGGATTGTAATATCGTCTTTTACCTGGCCATTTGGCATTAGAGTGGACCCAAGGTATTTAAAATCGGGCTCTTCCTCAATCGATAATAAATTTATAGAAAGAGGCATTTTATCAGCTTCTTGCACATAAGACGAAAAGGCTTCCGTTTTATTTACATTGACTATGAGTTCGACTCTCGCTGCAGTCATTGACACGTTATTTAGCATTATTTGCATTTCGTCATAACTGTCAGCAAAAAGGACTACATCACTACATCATTAGCGTATTCAAGATCTCTGATACGATACTCTGGACCGGTTTGGACATTTTTTGAGCGCCGACGAGCGGTCCATTATCCAGTTTATCGCATATTGCAGGGAAAAGGACGCAGTTTTGATGACACCACTTTTTATTTCGAAGGATTCAGTCAATTCTCCACATACACAGACCTCCGCCGATGTGCACTCATAAAATGCCTTTATGACTTGAATGATTTTTGGAATACCATCGCGTTCCATCATCCTCTAAAGCGCCGCTCTAGTGGTTGCATATATCTGAAGCGATGTTCGAACTCCCTCCTTAACGTGAATATCTGGAAAATTGCCACAGTATGTCCATTTCCTAGGAATGGGAAGCACAATTGCTTTGCTCCGGTTATCTGGTATTATTATTTTTCTTCCGTAACACTGAGTACAGTTGTATGTTACGAGAGCGACGGACAATTTTTGAAGAGTTCAGCTCAAAGACCATCTTCTTTGGGAATTTTATTGAACTTAAGTTTCTCGATGACGGAGATTATTTCTTTTGGCTATCCACAGTTAAAAACATATGCTTTAGCGAGCAATCCAGGTATATCCGGGACAACAAATACCTTATCATGTTTTGCGCGGTCTTAAATAATTCTTTCTATCTTACGTGGCGATCTTTAATAGCTTTAGCAATTATCTTATATGATTTCAATGGCTGTTGCCCAAGTCTTAGTTGCTTTGTGAAGAAGGCGGAATAATTTTCTATTATCGCCTAATTGAGCCTCGGTCTCCATTTCCAAAGCCATTGCAGTGGTGATTTCTATTCTGTCGTGCTGCTGTCATTGTAATTCTTCGCAGCATCGGGTACTGAGGTTCGTTTGACATTCATACTATAGCAACAGTTTTCGAACAGTTAGGCACTTGCTTCCGATACTCAACTAGTGCATCTCCTGCTAGTATATCCTAGTATGGAAGTGGCTAACATTCCGAGACATTCCTTTATTTGGAAAAAGTATTCATTGTTTCTTACGAATTATTAGTTCCATGCGAATCTTGGATCGAACTATAACGTAGTTTGTTCCATGATGGCCAATTTCAGCTCCCCGATAGGAACGGCTATCTAGTACGGAATTGTTTTAATGGGGAATTTGGTGCTGGAAGCATGTATTAGTAGCAAAAATTTCATACTTTTCGGTAAAGCGAAGAACCCTTTCCCCGTTACGGCACCGACCGCCAGTGCCATATTTGCCAATTATTGAATTTATCAAGGTGGCATCATGACCTATTCGACTACGAGAGATTCCAATCTCCCCCGATTATTATCATGTCACCTCTCGGTAGAAATGTTGCTAACATTTGAAGTTCCGCATAGAACATATCCTTATCGCGGTCATTTGCGCATAAAGTTGGAGCATATACACTGATGACTGAAATATTGCAGAAATTTCCTTTGAAGCTAGCATGTGGTTGTTTACCAACTTCCACTCAATCAGAGTGAATTGAGCTTTTTCAGACATGACAATTTCTACACCATTTCGCCTCGAGTTATCCGAAGCACCACAATGATATAGCCAGTATCTCTGCTTAGAGCCAGACTTAGTAATTGCACGAGACCCGATATTTGGATGTCCGACATGCAGACGACATCCATACGATATATGTGGATGGTGATTGTTTTGTAACGTCCATATGCGTTCTAATGTTCCATGCCGCTACGGCCAATATTGCTGTGTATGAAGAGAGCCGTTTTGGTTATGCCCGAATTGCTTATTTATCGCATGTATCGTCATCCGATTGTGAGTATCATGCACGTCGGAAGACGCGGATGCTATGTCAAAAAGATTTTATCTTTTCACCATTGATTCCCTTAACAATGTAGGTGCCCAACAACCATATTTTGTATTTTGATACGTTTATTCCTGTCAAAGACAAAGACAAAAAAAAAGGTGAAAAAAATCAGGGAAAGAATTAGGGAAAATTAGGGAAGGGAAAATAAAGTAGAAAATAAAGCCATAAAAAAGGAAAAGGAGAGAAAAAAATTGTTTAATCTGTATATATAAGAAAAAAACTTATCTTTCATCACCTTTGGATGGTCATGATCGTCCTCAACCTCCAGAGGCCTGGGAGATTGAGGGTTATGTGCTTAATATCTTTTCTTAATAGTGTGCTCTTCTGGATAGAGAGATCTCTGATGTTGTTCCTGAAACCACTTTTCTAGTTTAGAAGTCACAATTCCAAGGGATTCAGTTATCATTGGAATCAAGTTGGCCTTCATTTTCCATCTCTTCTCCAGTTCCTTTTTTGGCCCTTGGTATTTCTTCTCATATTTCTTCATTCTGACATTCATATCGCTTGGTTTTGCTATATCTATCACAAGTGCTGATTTCTGCTTCTTGTCTTCTGTCTACTGATATTTGGTTGATTGGCCAGTACTTGTTTATTTGTCTGGATGAAGAAGTAAGATCTTGGCCTTATTATTCTCTACGATTTTCTGAAGAATACCTGTCTTTCAGTATATTCCTTCTTGCATTTTGCATCCTGCCACTATGTTTTACAATTGCACAATCCAGCTTTTTCTAACCACTGGTAGGATTTCTACCGGTAGGATTTCAGGATATGTACCTCAGCTACCTCAGCTAACTATGGACCGTGCAATTTGTGGACGGTCTTGCATTGCCATGGTATTTCCTCTGCTTGGTCGTTTTCCACTGTCTATACATTCTCTCAGAATTTCATCCTTTGGTGCCATCTTGTTGATATATTTCTTCGAATTTTGAGTTTAAATGCTTCAAGTTTCGTTCAAAATAGTGGCTTTCACACTCACCAAGTCCCACCCACTTTTTATAGCCTTTGGATATCGGATTTGGAGTGGAGATTTCCGTGCACTGTGGAGTTTCCTGGCTTTTACATTCGCAGCTTCCATATCCTCCTTTGTCCATCTTAATGACTGCTTATCTGGTGACATATTTGATCTGGCCCTTCAAGATTTGTATTGTCCTTTGGTGATGCTTGGATATTGCAGTCTTTTTTATCATCATGGTTGCCATGTGATTGTGAGATACCAAGGTATTTGTAGCTAGCTTGTATGCTCGCTATATTTCCTGATGGCAGGTCCACCCCATTAGTCGTTGCTAATTTTCCTTTCTTTATTACCATTCGGCCGCATTTCTCTAATCCAAATGACATCCCAATGTTCTCGCTGTAAATCCGAGTTAGATAGATGAACAATCAATATCTCGTTCACTTGATACATATAGCTTGATATCATTTATGTAAAGGTGATTGCTGATGGTACCGCTGAATTTCCATATCCGCTTCTTGTGTTTGTCTTCCGACTGGGGAGGAAGGTATTTAGGCGTATGCAGAACAATAAGTGAGACAACCCGTTGCCTTGGTATATGCCGCATTTGATAGCCACTTATGCAAACTTTTTCGAGTTAATTTCAAGTGTCGTTTTCCACAATCCCATTGAGTTCTTAATCTTCAGAGTCATGTCATGTTGATTTTGCATAAAGTCAAGTATTCATAGATTCATGTGTGGAGCATTGAATTATAGGCTTTCCTATAGTCAGTTCAAGTCAATTCAGATTGGTCTGCGGAACTTTGGGTCTAGGGTCTTAGGTGCAGTTCGATTACTTTGTCTATAAGCAGCTGGTATTTGGAGCCTCTGGTGTTGTTTTCTATGCCTTTTTGAACTGCACCTGGCTCATACGGTCGTGAAGCTTGTTGTTTATGATGGCTAAGATATATATATTTACATATTTATATAATTTATACAATTTGATTAATTTATTATTTTATTTATTATTCTTTATTATTATTTATTTTATTTTTTTAATTCTTTAAAGGAACTTAACCTGATTGTTATCGAAAAATTTACGTTTCATAAGTAGCACAAAAAAATATTCAGGATTTATCTAGCTTTATATATGCGGAAATTATTTACTTTATAATTTATTTCATTTTTAGGGTTCTTTTTCTTCTTTTACATTTTATTTTATGAATTTTTCAGGCTGCGAAATGATAAAGGAGCACTCCTAGGCTTAAAATTTTCATTCTTTTTTGTACTACTTGTGAATTTATTTGAATGGTGGCGTTTTATAGGATTATCATTGTCTGCCACTTTTCATATTTTTATTTGTTTTTTAAACTGATGAAAATATGCGAAAAGTCTCAAGAAATGAGTAGTTTAATTCAAACGAGCGACTAAAAATTCGCTTTTATTCGAAAATTTCGTGTAAGAAGGGAAAATAGTTGATAGTGCAAAAAAAATGGACCATTACAAACCGTTTCTTTGAAATTTTATTAATCCTTTATTTTAAGTTTTAATGCTATCTCATATGATAAAATTATTTCTTATGGATTATGCATGTTGAAAGTGCTTTAAATAAACTTGCGACAGTACTTGTTGTTTAAGAGGCTAATGTGATGTTTTATTTGTTCATGTTGCCAACAAATTTGATATTTTCTTGCCTTTCTACTATTATTAAGATTATGTGAGTGAAGAGCACTTATTTCCGGATAGACTCTCTTCGCTGACTCGTTGGGCCGTATAAATTTCGTCAAGGATTCACTTGGTGACATAAGGAAGATTATTTGGCACCACAAGCTGAATTTTTGAGAGATTCTTTTTTGGAGCATGATCCCAGCACCGACACTTCAGCAATAAATAGTGAGCTACGTTATTCCTAATTAAAGTGGCTTTTTGATCTCAGTTGACTGAAATTTAAATTATTTTAAATTTTGTGATTTTCTTTCAAAAAGGTAAGATTATTTTAAGCTTAACATTTATGTGATAGATTGATGGAAATGAAATCCTAAAAGACTGTGGTTTTATGTATTTTAATAGAATACCGTTTTAATAGAATCTTATTCTTTACATGCTTTTTTCAAACAATAATTTCGTAACAATAATATTTTACTGAAATGTTTGGTTTCCTTTTTTATTATTATGGGTTGCCGACCTAGATTCATGATAATTTTGCAGCTTCTAAGTGTTGTTTAATGGTCTCAAGGTGCAGAACATTGGTTTTTGGTAATGTTATAGGATGTATACGAGTGAGGCAATATAGATCTATATTACCTGGGAATCCAGCGAAGGAATATGAAGGACATGAAGTTTCGAAAAAAGTAAAATGGTTCAATGATGTAAGCTTTTTCTTTACATTAGCATTTCAAAAAGGTAAATCTGTTTGATTGTTGTTTTACATGAGTAAGGTTCAGATATGCTTAAAAGACTTAACTGCAATACATTTATGCAAATATAAAAAGAATCTCAATTTTGGAAACTTGCTATTCGAACTCACTATTATTTCTCCAATTATTGAATTTTATTTAATCAGCTTATTATTATCGTCAGAGGCACTGAATTGAAAACTGAATTATCTAATAGAGAATCTGAGGTTCAATAAATCAATTAATTGTAGTATATCAAAGTTGTTTTCAGACTGAATTAAAGGAAAAATTTTTCGTTATTTTTAAGAAGTCATTGCAAGGATCAACGTCCGAGGCTTTATCAGCATTTGATAATTTTTAAGTTTTTTTATTTGTTGTGCGTTTTGATATCTGGCAAGTAATGTGTTCGCGAACCTTCGATAAAAATGAATAGAAGTCATGCTTTACTATTTGGTGTTATGATATTATTATTATATATATTTCCGAAAAAAATTTCATAAAAAATAGTTTAGAGTTCGATCCGCAAAGTTGCCAGACTGGATGTTAATTCGAATGGCGTCTTCGATTAGCATAAAATTGGGACCAAGCGTAGGCAAACAGCTACTGATAAAGTATAGAGGCGAACGGCGAGATGATTGTTATCGTAAGTTATTGTTTTTATCGGTAATAAGATTTATTTGGTTTTTTGGAAAATCTCATTTTTGTTTTTGGTCCTTACAAATGGTATTTATTATATAATTGTAACTGATTAAAATTAGTGCAGTAAGTTTCTTTGAAATCTTTTCGAAGATTTCCATTTCTATATATTTCCCTCTCATTTTTATTGGTAAGTTATTGCTACAAAAGCCTAATGCTTTAACTCATGGCGACCAACATACCGCTAGTGAACTAAAGTAAACATATATTTCGGTTTCAAGAATTCCCAAACTCTATTCTAAAGAATTTTTATTTTAAAAGGAATGATTTTTTATTTAAAGCCATTGATTTTCAGCGAGGAATGCAACCGTCACTGACCAACAAATATGTGTTGATATTGCTCGTATTCTTGGAAATAATCCTTCGCGTTATAATGCTGCCAAGCAATTTTACTTAATGCTCAATGAAATGCATTTCTGCAAGCCAAAAAGCGATGCATTGAATGTTTTGTTTGGTTTTTGGGTTAAGAAGTAAAATTTAAATTAATTTTGCATAATTATATTTCTTTATTGAGTAATAATTTTAGAAATTTTTTCTTAATTTCGTGCAAGTTTTCATTTAAAAAATGATATTAATTGAAATCGTATTCGATGACATTCTTTGAAATTTTCATATTTTTTTGTTTAACGTTATTTTGATTCTGATTTAATTTAAAATTTAAAAAGCATAAGTGTATTTGATTCATTTTATATTTCGGGAAAAATTTCTATAAAGCTGGAATAAAGGGATAAGCGGAATTTTTTTCTGTAGGAATAATATTGAGAAAGCAGTTGATGAACTGGAGGATTTACTGCATCGCTTGAAATTCAAATCTATTGGAAGCATTCTTTTCGTAGTCATGAGTCTGATATGTTCTAGTAATAACCAAAATTTAATAAAAAAAGGTAACTTTATTTCCTCAATATTTATATTTCATCAAATTACTGGATCATCACTTTTCATTTTATTTAAAATTCGTATCTCCTCTAAATATTTTTTTTAAAGGAGACAGCCTTGTAATGAAATATGCAAAAACCAGACTTCAAAGAATTTGTATTATTGGATGTGTTTTACTGGACCAGAATTTGCCCATTCGATTTGCCGAATTGCTTCATGTATTTATTAAAATTACTTTAATTACTTTATATTGAATTTATTTTATGGAACCAGGGAAGTTCTAGCTCGATCTTTCCATTGGATTTCCTCTGCATTTCTGCTCCAGCATGATTTTAAATTGCTTCTTATTTATATTTTCATTTTAGAAGGAAGAATTTTTATTGTGTTTCGAAGCTGTGAGGTTTATTTGTTCTGTTGCAGCTTCAAAACGGCGGGTATTTTTTAATTTTGCATTTTAAATCGAAACATTTATGTTGTTTCAATAATCATTTTTTTTGATTTCATCCCTCATCCCTCTTGCCAGACGTCGAATGCAAGAGCAAATATTCGTAAATCGAGAAACGGATCCCACCTATCAGCTTATCAAAGTTCATGAGGCAGCTTTCATTAACTCAGAGAGATGCATCAGTGGAAAGCAATAGCGGATCAATAAAGGGATTCAAATATTATTAAATATTATAAGACGGCGACAATCATAAAAGAAAAGCAAAAAGAAAGCTAAACAAGAGCCAATGACAAGAACAGCTAACGCTTTGGTGGCATTAAGACGATAAAAATAGGCGGAACAAAAGAAGATTGAAAGCATGCCGCTCCGGGAAATGTTTTCTATATTTATGAGAAAGTTTGTGTTATATGTCATGACCAGAAGCGAATCCTAGCCATTATTAATCACAAAAACCTTTGTCAATAAGTCACGCACGACATTCTCTGGCCTGAGAAAAAACTTCTCTTATTAACTTCATTAATCCTTATTGACAACTGTTGATAAGGCAAAATGGCTAGTTCCTGTTGCTTCAAGCCGTAGTCTTTTGTGTTCACCCTTTAGTGAATTTCATCACTTCATGCACAATTTCGTAAAATTTTGTAGCTTTGGAGAATGAACATATGCCAACTTGATTATCCATGAAGATCATACGTCTTCATATCATTCTTAAATAATCGATTTCAGCCCGACATGTTGTTTAATTTATTAGATTGCCATGAACTTTTCAAATTGGACAACAAAGCTCGTAACTATATCTGCAACGCACTTGTAGTTATTTATGGTAATTTTTCCTGTTTTGCTGGATTTTGATTTGGTATAATTTTTTATGTTGGATTTTTCTTCTTAATTATTTACATTTTTAATTATTTAAATCATTCTTCTAATATTTTGTTTAAATACGTTTGGTCAGTTTCGGAATATTTTAGTGGATCAATTGTTTTGTCTTTTCTTCTTTAACGTTCTCAGTTCGAGTTTTCGGGCATCCTTAGTTCCTTTGAAAAAAATTTACGAGCAATTTTTTTGGAAATATTATATTTTTTGTTTTTTTATTCCAACTGCTTTATCGACTTGAGGCAACCAAAAGATAACCTTTTTAGACCTCTTTGGTTTACATATAATTTACGAAAAAACAGCTTTTTTTGTTTTGACTTTGGTATATCAAAGATTTTCAGGTAAAAAGAGAGAAATCGATGGTTTGAACAAAATCTGGCATTCTGTTAACAATGAAAAAAATTTAGATGATTTCTTATCGACGATGAATGCATTAAAACATTTTTATAAATGTTTACGAGTTCATTGTCCAAAAATAGATCAAGAATAAAAAAATATTTATGGCAGAGAGCACTGAAAATGCAAAATGAAAGCTTATGGTATTATCAAGTCTTTAAACTTTAATGATGATGCTTTCGAACTGCTTGACTATTTGATTTTAAATACTCGATTTTTCGAATTTTCGATACTATTTGAATGTGAATGGCGTTTACTTTTTTTGATAAAGCACGTACTGCAGATTACAAGACGTATAAGGGAAAAATAAGTCGCTAAAAAATTGAAACTGATTAAGCGGATTGAACTTAAGCGAAACTGATTGATTGAACTTTACGCAAACAATGTTAATTTATTATATTTACAATATACATTTTTCTAATAATTATTTTTTAATTATGAGGATTTAAAAGGAATGCTTATCAAACTTTTTCTTCCTAATTCAAATAGTTTCAAGTGTAAGAAATTGCAAATTAAAATATCATTGGGTTTATATTATAAACAGTTTCCTTAGAAATCGTTTAATAAAGGTGGATAATAAAAAAAAAATGGAAATGAAATTAGGAAAAACTGTGTGAGAAAGAATTTGTCTCAATTCAGAATCATTATCATAATAAACACACCTATCCAATCTTGTTGCCCGCCTTTCGATGAATTTATTTCATCGATGATGAATGCTTTATAATTTTCACTACTTTCCAGTCAACGATATTATAATTTTCTAGATACGATTCTGCCTGGCCAGATCAGGGTTAAATTGTGTATTATATCTCGGCACTATTGCTACCATGGAACTAGCGCTTGGTGTAGTCATAAGTTCAGTAGCTTTTCTTCTCTCTATTTCCTCTCTCTTCAGTCGCTCCATTCGAAGTTCTTCAAGTTTTTTCTTCTTTGCGTTCTCTTCATCGATTTCATCTAAGATATCATGCTTCTTGGAACATCGCTTTCCTTTATTATATTTGTGATGTTTCTTCTTACCACTTTTTTTTTCCCACTCTTTCTGCAGTTTACGATTATAATTTCTCGAAGATAAAATATTCTTTCTTTTTGTTGGTTTTGTTGGTTTTTTTGGAACATTTTGCAGGTGATGAATAGGAAATTGCTCATACCACGCAGATTTCTGGAAAAAAAGTGTGAATGCCGTGCTTAAATAGAGATGGTAAAACAGAAGCATAAAATATAAAGCACGAAAAGTACAGCATGCAACCATCTACAATACCAGAATTGATATTACCATTGCAATAGGGTATTGAATTACAAGGTTGAGATTAGCCGTTCAATTACTTAACTACTACCGATTAAGCGTTATAAAATAATTTTATACGGAAAGAGTTTCGTAATGAAGGGAATTCACAATCTCCATTGAGTTTTATTTGAGCATTGGGTGTTTTCGTTTAATTCCTGTTTAATTAATGTTAAATTGTTTAATTAGTATGAAATTATTACAAAAATGAAGTTTATTTGAATGATTTAAAAACTATTTCATAGGTTATATGAAAGGGAGATTTTTTTTCATGATATCAAAAGCTTTAATAAGTGGTTCACTCATCATTTCGACTCGCTGCAGTGGCCAGTATAGTTAGAAATTTTTATAGCGTGATCAACTCACAATGGAAATATAGATGATGAGCACAACCTGGGTTTTTTAATGGTGAAAACGCAACCACTCTTCATTTTACGAGTATTAAAAGTTACTCAAATTACATCCAAATATTAAATGCCGAATAAATCTGTCGTCTACATTAATATCAGCTCAAAATGTCCTATTCTTAAGCCATTTAGGCCATCACAGAAACTTTTCACTATGTTCCAAATGATTAAAGTAGATATCGACTTTTCTGAGCTAAAAAGTTGGCATTCTTTGATAATTGGTAGCCTTTTTAGAATCCACTGAATTGTTGCTCAAATCAGAGCCGATGTTGAGGATCTCTCACCAGAAGTAAATTCGGTGATGCTGATGACCCACTTGTGCTTCTGCGGCCAAGTGGCTCTTTAACAAAATTTATCAAGCTAACTTAGCTATCTAACCAATAATATGCTCCTTGCACTCTTTTAAAAAAACGATTGAAAAAATTACTTTTGTTAATTCATTAGAACCTTGACCAACAAACTGTAAGATGCCAATCTTTTTTTCGTAATCCTCTTTGTTTTTTCGCTTCTCTTCCTCATACTCTTTGTTTCCTGTTACAAGATTCTTTCGTTCTGTTTCTTCCACGTCTACGAATAAATTCACGTGGCCGGTTCGGTCTTCAATTGCTATATCACTTTTATCCTTATATTCTGTCCCAAATACCGATTGCTTTCGTTCATTAGCATTTCTCCGCAATATATTCAACTAAAAGGCTAAGGATGCATTAACAACTGAAGTGGCGTGAACGTTTTATACATAATTTCTCTGCGATATTTCCACACTTTTGCTGCTGCTACGAAAAATCGTAAACAGCATATTAATAAACAAAAATTTTATCTTACTTTAAATTCTCTCTCACTAATCAATGCGCGATTTAGATTTGCAGTTTTCATTTCTTCAGCTTGTTTCTGATCTCTTCGAACACGAGCCACGTTTTCTTTCGTGCGAACATGCCATCGTTTTTTCGGTAGAATATTCATTATCAACGTAAAATTAATAAAATTAAGTTTGTTTACAAAAAACAGACACAGAATTATATTTTCAATAAAATATAATTAAGAAAATTTAATAACAAAGATTCTTATCCTTGTTTCCACAATGATCCGAAAATAGCGCTAAATTTAGAAATCCATTGTTCCTGTAATATTTACTAGATACAAAAAACAACACAGTGGTACAAACATTCCTCTACAGACGAGCAGAAAAACTTAAACTCAGGTGTACCCCTTGAGAATCACTTTTTCCTTGGAACTTTTCCAAATTATAAACAGTTAAGAAAATTTTTAACTGGAAAATAGTGTTATTTGCTATAATCATTCGACAGCCTTAAAAATCGCATGTCTGCATGCTTTCCTTTCTTATTTTATCCTTCCCTTTCGTCATTTTCTGTTTCTTTTTCTTCATTTTCCTTTTTTCTACTTCACCTTTATTATTTCTCACACTGCAGTAATTTCCTTAGCAAAATCGACTTCACTACCGCACATTTGTATTCTCGCCACACCATAAACTCGCCACTATTCACAAGTCCCGCAAACATCCTACCCGTAATACAAAATTATAAAATATGCCACCATCACGCAAACTCTGACATCGAAGGCATGATGTGAGGACAAAAATACTGGAAAAAGATTTTCGTTGTAAGAGTTGCACTGATTTAAATTTATTTTTGTGGTAGAAAGTTAAATTTTCACGATGAGTTCTTTATTTGAATCCTATTATCATAGTACTCCCTATTTTTTAAGCCTTATACGATTTTCTGCGGAATACCTGTATTTCAGTATATATTGTTCCTGTATTTTACATCCTGCCACTATGTTTTACTGTTTCTGAGGCTTTTGCACAATGTGCACATAGAATCTTGCCTAGTGTGGTAGATTCTTATTTTACTGGATTTAGAAGCCACTCCTTTTTCCATCGTCTAAGTCCATATATTGTTGGTCCACCACGTTCAAAATCTTTTCTGACCGTATCAGTCCAGGTGTTGACCTCGCTTTTGATTACTATCACACGATTTAGCAAGTAACGAAATATGCGTCAAATCCTGTGGTGTACGACCGAGAACGTGCCCTAACCAGCGAAAGCGATGCTCTTTGATAATAGTAATGATGCAAGTGGTATTTGAAGGAAGTTGGATATAATCATATGATATTTTGTAAAATGTGCCTTAGATAAGAGTGCTCAAAGGCAGATAGCTTCTTAATATTCCTCCACTCTCATTGTCTGAGAGCCATATAGCAAAATCGAACGAATCACAGCTATGTAGATGCGGCATTTCGTTTTTATGGTAATTTCATGGCGGCTTCATAAAGGTTTCGTCAACCGGAAGAACTCATTTCTTGCTGCCATGATCCGGATTGTAATATCGTCTTTTACCTGGCCGTTTGGCATTATAGTGGACCCAAAGTATTTAAAATCGGGGACAAGTGGTCCATTATCTGGTCTATCGCATATTGCAGGGAAAAGGACGCAGTCTTGATGGACACCAGTTTCGAAGGATTCAGTCAATTCTCCATATACATAGACTTCCACCGACATGCGTTCATAAAATGCCTTTATGAGTCGAATGATCTTCTCTGGAACACCCGCATTCCATCACCTTCCAAAGCGCCTTTTTATCAACTGAATCAAAGGTAGCCGCAAAGTCGATGAAACATTGGGTTGCAAATATCTGAAGCGATGCTCTAACACCCTTCTTAATGTGAATATCTGGTCAGCACAACTGCGCTCCGATCTGAATCCAGCTTCATTCTCCATAAGTCTGTTGTGTAAAAGAGAAGTAAAAATTTTAAATTTTCGCTAGCATCTAGTAGACAGATTCCTCGATAATTTGTGCAGTATGTCGTATCACTTTTCTTGAGAACTGAGAGCAGAATTGTTTTGTTCCAGTCATCTGGTATTTCTTTTTTTCCATACTAGAGAATAAATTTGGTAAAGGTGCGTTATAAAGGGCGATGGAAAACGTTTGAACACTTGAAGAGTTGAAGAGTTTAGCCCGAACACCGTCTCCCGGAGTCTTATTGGCCTTGAGCTTATGAATAACGGAGATTATTTCTTCTTTTGTTGGCGGTTCGCAATTGCAAACGTATGGTTCAACGAACGTATCAGCTATGTCCAGGTTGTCAACAGATGGCGCATTATGGTTAAGTTTGGCCTCAAAAATTCGTTCCATCTTATGAAGTAATAATACTTTTATATATTATTTATGCTTTTAACAGGCATACCATTGCTATCCCTTACCGTTTCACTGATCATTCTTCGAGTTATAGTTACTTTTTGAAAAAAGCGGATTAGTTTCCCATTAACGCCTAATCGAGCAGTCGTCTTTATTCTCAAGGCCATGTCACTCTAATAGTGACTTCTGTTCCGTCGTGCTACTTTCGTTGCAAATCTTCGAAGCATCAGGTGGTCAGGATCATTTAACATTCCTGCTTTGGCAGCTTTTTCAAACAGTTGGACAGTTACCCAACTAGCGCACTTCCTACTAGTATGCCCTAGCGTGAAAAGGGCTGAATTTTGGAGATATTCCTTTAGTTTGGACCAGTATTCATTTGCTGGTTCAGAAAAGTCATTGATATTTATACCACTGAGGTGCTTCAATAATTCGGTTTGAAATGCGCTCACTGCCCTGGAATTTTTTAATTTGAGATAGTTGAAGGATCTTGGGGGATGTTGTTTTCTGCGAGTTGTCAATTTTATGCGGATCTTGGCTCGAACCATAACAGGAATCCATTTAAGCATCGCGATAGGAACAATTAGTACAGAATTCTTCCAAAAGGCGATTAACTAAGATGTAACTAATCTGGTTGAAGTCTTGGTTATCCGAGGAGTTCCAAGCGATCAGATGTCTTCTATGATGCTGGATGCAAGTATTAGTAAAAAAAAATTCATACTCGATAGTGAAGGAAGTGTTTCCCATTGGCGCATCTCCAATGCCATATTTGCCAATTGTCGAGATCATCATAGCGGCGTTATGACCTACACGCACATTCCAGTCTCTGCCGATTATGACCATGTCATGTTTCGGTAAAGATTTTTAGCAATTGAAGTTGCGCATAGAACTTATCTTTATCTTTATCATGGTCATCTCCCAAATTGGAGCATAGACATTGATGACCGAGATATTGCAGAACTTACCTTTAAAGCGAGCATAGACCATGCGTTCGCTTACCAGTTTCCACTCAATCAAAGCGGAATGGGCTTTTTCAGACAATCGCTACACCATTTCGTCTCGAGTATGCATCACAGTGATGTAGCCAGTATCTCTTCTCCGAGCCAGGATTAGTAATTACTCGAGATTCGAGGTGAAGAAGATGGACCTCTGACAAGCAGACAATGTCCACACGATATTTAGAAAGGGTGTGGTCAGTGATCACTTGGCTTGCAACGTTTGATGCTCCACGCTGATATGGCTAATATCTCAGTGCGCGTGCAGAAAGCCGTTCCCCTTGATAGGATTTGAGCAATTACTCTGGCTGTGAGCATATTTTATCAGTCTTGTGATCGTTTTATGCCCGGCCTTTATATTTATATCATGTATCACAGGCTTGGTGTATCGTTCGCGTCGGAAGTCGCCGTATCAAGAATATCTGACACTTCCTGCATAGAGAGTCACTTGGGGATAGCATTACCGGTGGTTCTCCAGCAACCACCCGGAGTGAGTTTTAACATGACGGGTTTATTCCTACCACAGACAATTATTTTACAATATTATTGTAAATTATATTATATATATATATATACATTCTTCGCACAAGACAAAGAAATGCCAAGACCGGAGGGTTCTGCATATATATATATATATATATAAATTTTATATATATATATATATACTGGGCTTCATCCATTTTCGTTAGAATGTACTAATGTTCAATGAAAACGATTGTCCTATATGCGAAACCATTGAAATTCTTCGAATTTCTCGGATATTTCCTATAATATGTATATATTTTATATATTATTTCAATTCTTTGTTTTTTTTAGATTTAGGAAAAAAATCTAGCTCGTAGTTTTCTAAAAATATTTTGAAAAAAATAACAGCAGAATGGAAATACAACCGCTCAAGATCAAAGAATTGAATAATATTTAGGGTGAATGAGGTATGTTTAATTTCCCAGCCAAGTTCTGATTTTTGTCTCAACCTTTATTAATTTATGAGCTTTAGCGTAGTCATATTGGGCCTTTTTAACTATAAGCAATTTTGATGAAATTTATTCTTGAAGATAAGATACAATTAATTCAGTAGACATCAGTATGGATGATAGATTGACTAGATTTGAGCAGCTCATAATGAATTATTTCCTTAATAAGAGGTGATTCATTTAAAATAATTTTTTTAAAAACCTGGTATAAATACGATGAATATATGTAATATAGAGGTAACTGAGATTCGCCTGTTTCGGCGCATTATTTCAAGGTCATGAAAGAGTGAAAGAGTATATGGGTAGTTTAGAAAATTTTGTGCCGTGGATAAACCGTATTTCATCATTAAAATGATTTCTTAAGACCAACCAGTATATCCTTTTGAACATCAAATGCTTCAAAATGAGAAAAGTATAAAGTTTGAAAAAAACAGGAAATAAGGATTAAAGGTGAGGAGAAATAAGGATATAATCTAATCTAGTCTTCTAATCTTCTAACAACAACACTCAACACTCTCACCTTTTATTGTTTGACTGGCTATATGGGGTGCAGGATGAAACTTTCTTTATTAGGGAATCAGTTGCGGATAGAAGTCACCAGTATTATCCGTATTTTACTTTTAATGACAAGTTGTTGTTGGAAAATAAGAATTTGATCTATTATGTCTTAAAACCTCAGTCGAAACATGCCAATCGATCTAAGACCTTTTAGTATACATGTCACTGATAATGAAACTGTTATTACAAATCGTAATTTATTTGCTCAATTATTTGGTTGGCTTCTTAGCTAAACATCAAGATTTGAAGGGAATTCTAGATAATGACCAATATGATCAACTCAT